TCTCCAGGTTCATAGGGTTCCTGAAGGCAAATTATTTCTATTTCGGAAGAGGATGCTACTCCTACTTCCAAGCTTGTTTTAATCTGGGAGCTCCACCAAACACCGTCCATCACGGGTAAGCATTATTGCATGGGGCAGGTCAGTGTCACAGTGACCAGCTTCACAGCAAACCGAGCTGTGTTTGTCCCTCTTCAAGTGGTTAGAGGCCCTGGAATCTAGATTCACACACAGCACACTGGCCCCCAGCCCTCAGCCTGCAGGCGTGAACAAACATTTTGGTATTTTACAATTCCAGCCCACCCAAATGCTGGAGGACTCTGCATCAGAGACCCCCAATTCAATCTGGCAAGTCCACTCTGCTGACACTGACTTGGGGCAAAAAGAAAGCCACAAAATCCCCAAGTGTTCCATATGCATGTGTATCTTCAGCAAGATTTTACTTGCATGTGATATTAATGATAGTGTTCAATCATTAATTTTAACACTGTTGAGAATGGGAATAAATATGAATCTCTTCAAAGCAGTTGGCCAGGAAACTGTCTTCTCTATTTCTTAATATAGACTAGTGAGCACACCAAGGGCTGCATCTCTTAGAAAGTACCACAAAGGAGTCCCTCTGAGATACATCGTCAGAAATGTGCACAGGTCACCTATAGTCTGGGCCCCTGACTCCTATCAGAGGGTAGCCCAGCTCACAATATGCCTGAAACCACTAGATTTGCGCTTTCAAGCACATGATCTTTCAAGACAGATAGACTTTGGAATGACAGACTTGATTGGCTATGTGTTAAATGTGCTAGGAGAAAAATCAGTATAACAGCAAAATTGACTCTGTAGGATTATTGAGAAAATTAAACGAGAGGAAGTGTATGAAAGTGCACCCAGTGCTCCTTATAGGCAAAGATGGTGAAACATCTTCTTGCAAACTTTGGGCATGTTTTCAGGTGGAGCCAGTCTTTAGAAAAAGACATGATGCTAAGAAATTCTCATTCTCATTGCCATGAGTCCAAACTGACTCATCACAAGCCCTCAGTGGGCATTCCCAGGCTGTGAACCACGCAGGAGGAGACTGCTTATCTTTCACCTGCAGAGCAACTAGTGAATTTGCCTTTGGCATGGAGGCACACTCCCTAGGAAGCATAGAGTGTGAAAGAGAGGGAAAACCTCAAAGAGAAGGATTGACACTGTGCCTGTAACTATAGCAGAGATAATGAAGAGGGTCCAATAGGGCAATGTTCAGATTTGCTGTTCACAGGGCTGCTGTCAGGTGTAGTCAACCTGGCAACATCTAATACAATATGAACTGTCTAAAACAGAACCTAAGTGAACACTTACTGAGAAGGCTCTATAACAAACACATGCTGAGTTCCTCTCCTCTTGGAGGATTCCTTGCCATCTTTGAACAAGCTGCCCTGCACAGCCAAGGTGGTGGACAGAGCTGATGAGGCCTCGTATCAGTTCCCAGCCTGGATGCCTGGTGCAAACCTCCCTCTGTAGCGCGTGGCTCCAGACAGTCCAGCTGGGTACATCTGGCCATGGAGATTAAATTATTTTTGAATTCCTAACTGAATGTTCTTTTAATGGAAACTTAATGACAGGCATTGAAATAGATTTCCTCCTTAAGTCCTCCTCTGCCTTGGTCCCCCCACATGGCTCTGTGTAGCCACAGTTCCTGATAACCTTTATTCCCTGCCCATGGACTTTTATCTCCCCAGTAACAAACAGCTCTTGCTGGACAGAAAGAGGAAATTCCAGTCATTGTTCTCAAACTTCTGACTTCCAAAATAAAATGCTCTATCTCCCCTGTCAAGCTTTGATTGACATGCATTTCCTGTCATGGCAGACAGCAACAGTCAAGGGGTGGGGCCAGGAGTTAATTTGCATTCCTTCCATCAGCAATTTTCAAAGCTTTTGTTCTGACAGGGAAAGATGAGGAGCCATCTCTCCTCTTAAGAAAGTTCTCCAAGGAAGTTGCCGAAAGCTTTTTGAGCTCCCCTGCAATGTTCCCTCTGACAATCCTCTTTGCTGCTTGTGACAATCTCCGGGGCTGGGAAGGAAACCAAAAGGCTGACCTCATTTTCTAGATCTGGCCCTTTAAAAGGGACCTTTTCCTTCTACCTCTTCATTCTGTAGAAGTAAATATTTTTTTGGATGTTTAGCCCTTTTTCTCAAAGATACTCTTCTAAATTTTAAATTTAAATAAACATTGTCATGTGAGATAGTGTGAGTCCAGAAAAGTTAAACCAGGACCAGCCTCACCAGGCTGAAATTCTCTCTTCAGAGCAGCATGGATAAACCAGGCAAATCAAAGGATAATCAGTGACCAAAAAGCACTGAGGATAACAATGTTTCATGGAATGCAGCTTGTTTCTTGAAATTAATTGCATTTAAAATAGATAAATCATTAAATATGTGGTGTATCTGTATCAGCGCAGTAATGATGAGATCAGATCTGGCTGGGGGGAAAAATCCTTCTTTCAAAATAGCCTTTTAAGCCCCCTGGAACATTCACCATCCATTTAATCCACACATTTAGCACAAACATTAATGTATAGTCTGGCTGACCTTCTAGAACTTTCTGTTTCCAATTTTTTTTTAATTCGCTGTACTCCTATGCATTTCATGACTTCTCACCTTCGTATTTCCAGGTTTCTTCTGTTGTTTCTGGATCCCAGCTACTCTAAAGACAAACACACACACACACTTAAATCTACTCCTGTGTCTGAGTAGAATTGTGTCTGCTAGAGTTTTCCTGGCTGTGAGCACCAGGCCTTCTTCAGAGACACCCTTGAGCAAGTTCAAACTGCTAGTCTTTCAGTTACTAGCTGATTGCTTAATTAGTTCCTCCCAGGGCCTCTTAGAACTTTCACCTTACCTGTGTTGACCATATTTCCTAGAACTTTAATAGACATAACCATGCTAACGGGAGCTCTGGTGGCCTCATCAGCAGGGAGCTTTGCCGCTAACCCAAAGGCCGTGCCTCTCTGGTGGTTTGAACCCACCACTGGTTCCTCAGAAGAAAGATGGGCAATCACCGCTGGTTTGTTTTCCAGCCTTGGAAACCTGGTAGAGGGTCAGTTTTGAGTTGATTTTGATTCCACAGCAATTAGTAGAATAGTAGCAGAATGATTGCTAGAGGTTCAGAGGGAGTTTTCATTGAAAAGGAAGATTTCGAGTGTTAGAGTATCTTGATCTTAATAAATGAGTATTTGGAACTAAATAGATATTCACTGAACACTCAGAAATACCAATTAGGAGTTGCTTAGTTGCTGTTGCTTAGCTCCCTAAATAATCAGAAGGAAGGGGTTATGATGATTTTGCATTTTGCGAACGGGTAGGAAAGTAGCAAGGAGAGAGTGTCTGGATGTGAAAAGCCTGATTTAATATATTTTCCCTCAGTTTACAAAGGGATCCTCAGTGTCATGAAAACTCATGGCAGGGAACTCCAGCTTTCTCAAGCTTGCTTACCACTTAACCAATTTCCTTAAGGGTTGTCAGGATATTAAAGTGGGGTGCACCACACTTCAAGGCACAAAATGACCTCTCGCATGAAACAGTTGTGGGCCCCTGATTATGCACATTGACAAAATACATGTCCCCAAGTCCCCCAAACTTCCCACAGAACCTAATTAGGGTGTGTGTGTGTGTGTGTGTGTGTGTTCCCCTACAAGTTCATTTCCAGGCTTGGGAAACAGCCTTCTCTACTAATATTGCCCACAGCAGCCACCGTTACTGCCAAGACATATCTAGAGTGATTTGATGGGGCTTTAAGGAGTGGTCATGTCTGCACCAAGCACGCTGCCTCTCAAAGAAGCCATAATGGTCTAATGCCATCTTCTCACTCTCCTTTCCCTTCCAGGAGACATCTACACTCAGCAAGAGCACTTCCAGCAGCCTATCTATGGTGATGAATGCATAAGGAATGATACTTTCAGAAAGTACACACACAGTTTCAGAGATTTAACATCTTCATCAACACCCTGAAAACATTTGATTCCTAAACAGCTTTGAGTATTATGCTTCTCAGAATACATTCAAAGTAATGTAACAGGTGAGTTGAACAAAATATTCACAGTAAAACCTTCCCTGAAAAGAACAGCCTTGTTTCACTTGAGCCCCTTTTAGGAATATATGGTGCTGGCCCTCAGAGACAGATGAAATCCTTACTGTGGGGTCACATTTCATTCTCCTTTCTTTCACACTTCTCCTGTAGAAATAGCTTTTCATTACACATTCTCACATAAACACAAGAAACACTTTTCTCTCAGAAGTATTCACAGACATTTTCTTTCTAGACTGACGTGGCACCTTTCTTGGAACAGGAAGAGATGCTTTTAGCAAATATGCAGCTTCCAGTCTTTTCCACGGAGCACAGTTTTTATATTCACCACCTTTTCCAAATCCAGGTTTCTGTCTTTCAGGACAATGCACACTGAGATTCTGGAGTGTTGAGTCAATTCTAAAGGTTCACACTAGATTGGACCAAAAACAGATTTGAGAATCTGCATGTACGTAAAGCTGGAATTGATCCAGTGCTTCCCAGACATACCACAGGTTGTGTTCTCCTTGCTTTTTCTAAAATCTAGTGTCACCCTGACTGAAATGAAGGTTTGCAACCATTACAGTTGAGTTTAGAGCCACACAATAGTTCTCAGATTTTTATTTTTCCTTACTTTCTTTGATTTGTTAGTTCATCTCCTCCAACTCAGGAGGTGGTGTTTCCTTTTATATCAGTAAAATCAAATAAGAATACAGATTTGGATTTGAGTTTGTTGGTTTAGTTTTTTTCTTTGCTTTCCCTGCTTCTATTCATGCTCATGATTTCTTCAAGAAAATTTTAAAAGATCCTGTTTGGCTTGCACATAAGACTTCTGATTAATCAGTTCCTATTAACCCTGCAACATTGCATGTGAGCTCACATAACTTCCACATTCCAGTGTCATGTAAATACATGACATGCTCTAGTACAGCTGCCTTGTAGAGCAGCATGTCTCGGAAGACTTTAAAGGCTCATGTTTAACTTTCATATCACCAAAAATATTGATTGTTTTTTAATGTTTCTAAGTCATTAGCCATCTTAGAGCTTTTGCTTTATTCATATTGAAATTGCACAGTTACATTTTGGTGTCATCTATTTCATTAACTTCTGACAAGATGAAGTTGGGATTGTCATAGCTTCTCTTCATTCTAGCTCTAGAATCCCTCTCATTGTAGAGGCACATGGCACAGTGAGGGGTCTCCACTTCGATGGTCTTGCTAAAGTTATGGAAATCTACCCTATATTTACCTTCCTTAGTCTTAGATACTATTGGAGCAAAACGGTAGCCCCAGAGCACCTCTTCTGGGACATAGGATGTCCGGACCTGGCAGGTGGCACTGGTTGATTCTACTGTGCCATCCAAAAATACCACTAATTCAAAGTCTTGCTGGAGAAGGGTTTCAGCTGCCATGTGGAAGAAAGGACTATTGTGATCAATGACATGGTAAATTGTCAGAGGAGATATGAAGAATAAATTTTCATTCCCAGCATCTACCACAAAGTTGATATTGATCTGGTCCAAAATAATAGTCTCTCCCTCAGGAGTGACTGTGGTCTTCAAAAGCTTCCCATATATGTGACTGCCAATAAGGAGGCTCTTCCTAAGATTTGCCACACGGATTAGGAGACAGAGCTTCCCACCACGCTTGCTAATCACAGCATTCTTGCTGAAGGTAATAGTCTTTGCACATTTCTTAGGTCTAGAGATTTTGGCTAAGATGGCACCACACATGAAAGAATTAATGATGACTCCAAGAATAGACTGGAAAATAAGCAGAAAAATGGCAGTCGCACATTGTTCTGTCACACACCTAAACCCATATCCAATGGTCACTTGTGTTTCCAGAGAAAACAGAAAAGCTGAAGTCATTCCATTGATGTTCTCTACACATGGAGTGTGGTTGACAGAGGGATGAAACTCTGGGAGATCTTTGTGAATGTAGGCTACTGCGTACCACAGAAGACCAAAGAGGAACCAGCTCCCTAAGAAGGCAGTGATGAAAATGGTCATTTTGTATCTCCATTTGAGGTCAAGCACAGTTGTCCAGATGTCCACAAAGAATATAAATCTCGATTGTGCCTCCACATTGCCAAACTCAATGTTGCATCTTCCATCCTTAGACACCAATCTTGCTCTTTTCCGTGAATGCCCCAAAAAGTGAGTGATAAACCATTTCCGAAGATATTTGAGCATTCTTTCTGTCAGTACTTTAATCTGAAAACACATCAAATAAAAAGAAACATATTTATAAAGGAACAGTAAATTGTGACTCAGATAAATATCTAACTATATGTGAAAAGATAATTTTAAAACATACATATTAATACTATAGGCTAACTGGCAAGTCTATTTTCGATACCGAAATGCTATTTCCCATAGAAATAGTGAAAGACTCTATTGCTTAACTATAAAGAGGAAAAGATAAAACAAAAAAGTAAAACAAACCAGAAACGTAAAGAACCTAAAGAAGATATATCCAAATGTTTATTGACCTCATTCAGTCTCATATAACCTTGAAAATATTGTTTTCAGATGTGTCAAGGTAACTGCAACTCATAGTGATCTATGAACAGATGGAAACCTTGCCCTGTCCTGAACCATCCCCATAATTTCTGCCTTGCTCAAGACTATTGGCCCTTAAAAAAAAAAAGAAAGAAAAGAAAATGATTGAAAGAATAATATTAAGTAATAGGACACATCATTTTTTTTTTCTATAGTGACATATTTTTTTAGTCTTTTTAGGTCAGGATCTTTTTCTTTTTTTTTTTTTT